AATATAAAAACGTACAATTAAAATACTATAGAATAATATGTACAAATGTATACCGAAAAAGAATAGCAGCATTTATATAAAACAGTGTATAGTTTAGTTTCAGTGCATTATGTTAAATCCCGAAGTATCAATTTATATTTTTTACCGTCTGTAGATCAATGTAGATGAACGTTTTGTTATTTGTTGTTTTTTGTCATTTGCTTGTCTTTCATATGTTTCATATGTTACGTATGCATGTCTGCCACATTGTTCTCCTGCCGCGTATAACCTTCTCACGATGTCTATATGTAGTGTGTCCTGCGTGCTTGTGAAATGTAGACTATATCGCCTGTCCTTCACAAGACCTTGATGGCGTTTGCCTTCTCTAACCACATTGAAGGCGATCTGATGAAGGAGCTGAGCTCCTCTGATGTGGAGAGGCAGGAGAAAGCGGTGCAAAAGGCAGACCGCCTCATGTCCGCCTGGGAGGACAGCGATCCGGGCAGGACGCGACGTAACCACACCGTCATCAACAGCAGTCCCTCTCCGCATCCGACCGCTCAAGAACATCCATCAGTAATAATTATCAGTCATTTCTATATTATGTTTAATCTTTTAAGTATCACTTTACTTGAGGGGAGCAAGCAACGTATTAATTCTGTTACTATACTGAAGTACAAAATCATGAACAAAAATAGTAACTGCATTAAACTCATGAACTGTTATGACTGATTAACGATGAACTTGTGATCAGTACGTAACACATACTTAAAGTTTCTGGCTAATTAATCCATTCAGTAAGAGTGTACTACTGCATTATTTGCGCCCCCTCAAGTAAAGTGTTACCATCTACTCAAATGAAAGACTTTGTGTATATTGCAATACATCTATTTGAGTGCCTCCATGCATATTTAATATGATAAAAAGTATTTGAATAAGTTATTGCAAAAAGGATAATAATAATGTCATTATTTTATTGTCTCATTTTCAGAATTATTCTGATTTAACTTCAGGTGAGTTTCATTTATTTCAAAATCTAAATCAGGAGCCAAGACCATGGTAAAATCTGATGGACATGTTGAACAAAATGCAATTTTTACCCCAGACAGTGTATTAAAATATAGCCTACATGGTTTTCCCCCCTCAATAACACCATTTTGTCTCTGACACAAATTTGTCCATGTATGGACAGGTTTACTATCCCTGATCTCAGTCAGTCGGAAGAAAGTGTACAAATGAATGGTAATGTGCATCATGCTCCACTAAACACCGCACCTTGAAGTGCTGCTCTCCTTTTTATTTCTGAGCAACTACTTTTGTAAAATGGGCTCTTTTAGATACAATTTCATGTTTTATGATTTCCTCTGAACTTTTTTTTTATGTTCCTGCCTTCTTTTGTCCAGTCTGGCAGTATAAGTCCTTGTGAAACTATCTGAGCATATTTTGTAAACTCTTTAGAATAATTTTAATGACTTCTTGGGGATGTGTGTGTGTGTGTATGTTTTCTTCAGAGAGTTTTATGAAGGTTTTAGAAATGGATTCAGAGGACAGGAGAAAAAGGAGGAAGGAAAATGAAAAGATAGCAAACGGTGTGTACAAAGCTAATATATACACACATGCACACGTTTGTATGTACTGTATGTATCTACGTATGTTTGTATGTAATGGCATGCATTTGTGATTATATATATGGCGTTATGTTTATACATTTGATTATAAACAATTATCTCATATGTCTATGTGTCCATATGTCCATATGTATGAAACGTCTTGTCTTTGTGTATCAGCCTTCAAGGTGAAGGGGAATGAGGCTTTTGCCCAGGGAGACTATGAGGCCGCAGTACAGCAGTACACTGCTGGGCTCAATGCCCTTCGAGACATGGAGGTCCTGTATACCAACAGAGCACAGGTACATGATGTACACAGACACTGAATAGGTAGGGCACAGGTCAAGCACAGGTAAACACTGTACAGATGTAGGGCACAGGTCATCCTATACAGATGTAGGGCACAGGTCATGCACATGTACACATCGCACAATGAAGGGCACAGGTCAAGCACAGGTAAACCCTGTACAGGTGTATGTCACAAGTTAAACACAGGTAAATATTGTACATGTGTAGGGCACAGGCTAAGCGCAAGTACACACTGTACAGATGTATGGCACAGGTTAAGCACAGTTCAACCCTGTACAGATATATGGCGCAGGTCATGCACAGTTAAACACTGTACAAATGTAAAGCACAGGTCACACAGTGAAACACTTTACAGATGTAGGACACAGGTCACGCATAGGTAAACACTGTAGAAATAACAGGGCATAGGTTAAACACAGGAACACACTGTATGGATATAGGGCACAACTTAAGCACAAGTAAACACTGCACGGAAGCAGGGCACAAGTGAAGAGCAGGCAAACACTGTTCAGATATAGGGCTTAGGTCAAACCCAGGTAAACATTGTGCAGTTGGAGGGCACAGGTTAAGCACAGGTAAACACTGTACATGCTGACGATGTGTAGCTTCTGCTGTTATTTCATCTTTTGATGTTGAACTTCACATGCAGGAGGCTATAGAGTCTCCCATTAATATCATGTCTTTAATGAATAATACAATACCTTTAATGAACACATAAAGATTTGGTTCTGAGAGGAGGAGCATTAAGAACTTAAACTGTATGAAAACTTGACTTTTCTCTGCCAGGCCTTTATCAAACTGAGGAAGTACAAAGAGGCCATTAGTGACTCTGAGTGGGCACTCAAGGTACGTCTCCCTGGGAGAGAAGGGTCAATCTCTCACACCATCGTTCTGCAGGCGCTCGTACAGGTTAATGCTCCCTACCGGAGGAGTGGAGACTCAAAGCCAAGACGGGGAAAACACTGTACAATTACACTATGTGATTCTACACGCAAGGACATCTACCATGAAAAGGCTACCCCTTTGTGTTTTGAGGGGAACAGAAGTACAAAAATATGGTGTTAGGTGAATCCCATTCAGAATGTCCTCTGCCTTGTGCCCTTTGCTTCCGGGGATAGCTAGTCTACATTGGATATGCAGTTTGGATGGATGGATGGATGGATGGATTGATTGTTGGGTGGATGTTTTGATTTCTTCTGTACATCTACATTTCCCACCTCCGTGTTACAGTGGTCTTTAACTAGTAACTAGTCAAAGAAGCTACTAACTCTCTCTTCGCAAGCATTTGAGTGTACTTTGTCAAATTGTAGTATAGTTTGAAGCTGTCCAGTGAGTAAAGAAGGACAGAAGGCACAGGACACAAAGCTGCAGGTCACACCCACCTTATGTTCGGCCTACTCTTCCCTGCAGTGCAATGAGAAGAGCATAAAGGCCTTTGTGCTCATGGGAAGAGCACACACAGCGCTGCAGGAATACACAGAGGTGAGGCTCCCCCCGTCTCCCTCTCCTCAGAGCCTCCCCCTCTGCTCACCATAAAGCAGGCGATGGCATCCTTCAGAACACCGTCAAATGTGGAGCACGAGACGTGATCACAGCACGTGGCACATTTGTTTTGTCTAAAATACATTTTCTGCATTTCTCAAGAAAGCCTCTTTTTCTGTCGTACCTTTTAGAAAGCCCTTTTTGCTGACTCACTTCTTCTACCCGCGTTGAAATTCTCTAGTTTCTGGCTGAATACTTAAAGGCTCTCACCTTGTCCTCCATACAACGCAGTCATGCGTATAATTACCTTCTCAAGAAGGCCCTTGCTTTAACAGCATTTTGTCTGTGATGTAGAATTCACCCTGAATTTCCCAGCATTCCCCCTAATACCCTTTGTGACACTGTATGGATACAGTATGTGGCCCGATTCACTGAAGCTCGCTTGCCATTGGAAGTACTGATGTTTTCTGGGCTTTTTTTAACATCACCAGCCACAAAGCTTCCCCAGCTCTTATCAGACAGCTTGTTTCAGCTTCCCTTTCTTACAAGAGCTTTGTGCGTTTTCAGGCACGGCTTTGCTATCAACGTGTCCTTGACATCGAACCTGGCAGGGCCGCCATGATAAAAGGTAAAGGGTTGTATTTCTTTTAGAAATTTTTCACAGAAGACCCGCTGACCACCTGACAAGCAAGTTGTGCTTTTGTGATGGATTACCTTAATAATCCTTAGACCAGTTTGAACTTGTATTACCTTAAACGTACTGTAACTATTGACCATTCTGGAGTCATTCGCCTACTTACAGTACAAAGGGAAAAGGTAGGAAGGTACGTGTGTGGATTGGTTATTCCTGTGTGTCACTGGTCACATGACCATAGAGTAGGAAGTGATGGCTTATTTGTGGATCAAGCAAAGTCCCAGCATTGGATTGATATTGTGTAAATCATTGTTTTTGGGGATGTTTCACCTTGTCCCTGGATGCTCAACAGAGAAAATACATCATCCAAATTCCAAAGTGGTAAAACCATATAACCAGACTGTTACAATTCTTTTATTTTTACAGATGCTCTCCTGCTTTTCACAATCGCACTTTCCTTTGCATAATCTGATGGAAATTGCATAATTATTGCCTGTAAAAAATAAGCTGAAAAGCTTCACCATGAACCTGTCATATTTTAGTTAACAGAAGCAATGCACAATGGACTGTTAGTTTATATGAATAAACTTAAGTCCCTGGGTTAAGAATGTGTGACTTACGGACAGCTCGTGCTGACGAACGGACTGCCGTAAAGACTATTTCATATTCAAAATTCAGGTTAAATGCAATGGTTCATAATGAAGTACGCATACACTGCTTTGTGAACAACTCTTGTGAAAACATTCTGCGGTTTCAGCAGTTTGTCTGTTCAAGGTTCAGCACAGTACTGTACGTAGGTACTTTTATTATGTACTGTATTATTACTAGTATTATGTACTGTATTATTACTATTATTATCTACTGTATTATTATTGTTCCAACTTACCGACAAATTCAACTTAAACACAAACTCAGGGAACAGTTCTTGTTTGTAACCTGGAGATGGCCTGTAGATGAATATTCAGTTTACAGGGATCCTAATGAAGTCTCTGTAGGGACGTACTTATCCCGGGATCTGCTGATACCCTTAGAATGGGTTCAGGTGAGGGTTTCCATGGTATCTCAACCTGGGGGGCTCCTGACTGCATTCTGCTCTCCTAGAGTATCTGACTCGCGTGGACCTGCAGGAGAAATCAGACGGCCAGGAGAGAGAGGCCCGAGTGGAGCTGGGTCAGGGGACGGAAAGGGCCTCTGCGGTGAGAGAGCTGCTGAAAAAGATGGAGAAACCAGACAAGGCTGCCCTGTACTACTGTGGAGGATTGGAGGCTCTGACGGACGCTGTGGCTGACAGTGAGTGGCGATATAGGTGTGGATGGAGTGTGTGGATGACAGCGAGTGTGGATGTAGGTGTGGATGGAGGGTGTGGCTGACAGTGAGTGGGGATGTACTGTAGGGTTAGGGCCACTCTAACGCACCATCATGTGTTTCACTGCTTGGGAAATACAACTCCCTTTCCGAAAAAGTTTGGACGCTGTGGAAAATGTAAATAAAACAGAATGCAATTGTTTGCAAATCATATAAACCCATATTTAATTGAAAATATAACAAAGAAAACATATCAAATGTTGAAACTAAAAAACTGTATTATTTTATGACAAATATTTTGTTTTATGACCAATATCTGAGAAATCAAAATTTCTTTTTGGAAATCATGGACACTAAAGAGGAGAGGGACCATCCAGCTTATCAGAGGACTGGTCAAAGGCCAGCATCCATTATCAGCATTAGTGCCCATGGCTTGAGTAGCTTGCACTTCTAGGAAGGCACCATAAATGCGGAACAATATATACAGGTTTTGGAGCAACATATGCTGCGATTCAGACATCTTTTTTAGAGATGGCCTTGTAAGACAATGCTAAATCACATTCTGCATGGCTCCATAGTACAAGAGGCCGGGTGTTAGACTGGGCTGCCTGCAGTCATCATGAAATGAAAAATACAAGAAGGGAGAACCCCAACAGTTGAGCAGGTGAAATCCTATATCAGGCAAAAATGGGACAACATTTCACTTTCAGCAACTGGCTTCCTTAGTTCCCAAACATTTACAGAGTGTTATTAAAAGAAGAGGTGATGCAACACAGTGGTAAACATGCCCCTGTCCAAACTTTTGAGCATATATTTGTGACAAAACAATAGCATTTCAGTTTCAACATTTGGTATGTTGTCTTTGTTCTGTTTTCAGTTACCCATGGGTTTATATGATTTGTAAATCATTGCATTCTATTTCATTTACATTTTACACATCTTCCAATGGGGCTGTAGCCCGTGATGTCTCAGAACATCTGACCTGTCTTTTAGAAGTATTCATATTGTGCATTCATAAGTGATAGGGGTCTAGGTGCATTGGTTTGTTTCGGCAGTGTTCTGGTTCTGATTGGCCATACTTTTATAGCATGCACGGTAGCAGACTGCATTCTCTCTCCGTATTGTTTTCGTGTCTCTGTTTCGCTCGTTAATGCGCTGTTGCATTGGGTTTATGGGTTTTCGTATTCTCTCCTGTATTCATTACCCACTCATTGAAAATCCCCATGTTTACTGCATTAACGAGAGTACTCCATAAAAATCAATGTAGGCAGAATTAATTAGAAGAATTTATCAATTACTGTCCTAAGAATGTGCTCCTGCAGGGGAGGGTCAGCCGCTGGGTCATAGGATCAATTTGTCCGTGTTATTTAGCCTCTGTCCTCCTGTGTCTGGAACACGCCCAGGATACTGAGGCTGGGCTGCTGACTGACTCAGTGTCTCGCAGAGTGCCGTCCCATCATGGAGGGCACCAGGGCAGTGCCGACTCACTGGGCGCGCTCTCTCCAGCTGACCTTGACAGTAGACGCAGCCTCGACGAGCCGCTGCTATCTTCCCGCGGTGATGCGCGTTTGTCGACGCCTTACCCTCATACTCGTGTCCCTCACAGGCACAGGACAGACACTGTTCCGGCTTCACAATGGCTTCAGTGTTGTCGACAGCAATGGCACTGTAAGGAGGTAAGGGGACCGCTGAGAGCGCCTTGACAGGCCCAGATAAGTCCAATCCTGACAGTCGGACGAATAAAACATGTGAACAATGTACCGTTCTTAGCAGAGGGGGTCTCTGTGTCAGAAAGCATCTAGCAGCATGAAATTTCGTACCAGAATTGAGTGAATAAAACCACAATCAAATCTGAATCTAAAGCAATGTGTCATGAAGTTGGTTGTTTTTGCTTATTTTAATTAATACTCCTGTCCCCAATTATTTTACCTCATAAGGTAGCAGTACTTCTTTCAGAGTTATGTGTATGGAGCTCTTACTGCTGGTCGTCAAATGCGGCTCTGAGTGGTTAAATATCGCCAGTCGTCGTCTCTCCCTCAATGTTAATCCCATAAAAACGAAGCCGCAAGGCTCTCGATAAGCTGTGAAATGTGCTTGCTGAGGTCCTCCTCGAATGAGGAACAAATGACATCAGTTTATTTTAAAGATTAAACCGGGAAACTGGTGCAACGTTATTTTATTGACTTACATTTTGACTCAGATATAAATCCAGGAAGGCCCAGTCATTGTAAAAAAATTGGAACATTTAATTTGTGGCAGATTGTCCTGAAATATGATTTTAAATGCTTTCTTTCATCTGTTATTTGTGCTCTAATTCTTCAAAAGGACACTGCTGCTTTTTAGCAGAGCGTTTTGGCAGATTTTGTGCTCTTACGGCAGGGAAGGTTTTAATAGAACCCTGCTCTTGTGTGAAGTGATGAGTCCTGTCCCCCTCAGCTGTCTCTCTCAGGATGCAGGGGGGGCTTTCACTGCTCAGCTCCGTGTTTCCGTGCTGAGGCTGTGGAGGAGGGTCTGCCAGGACAACGGTGTGTATGAACCCGCATTTCCGATTCCGGTTGCTGGTCCCCTCGTTTTCCACTTTTTCCCCAACTCACGTGGTGCCTTTGAGGCCTTAAGGATTAGGGCACCAATGAGGCATAAAATCCCATGCAAGATCCGCTGTGCTTCGTTGCATATCAGTCGCACCTGTCTGTCAGGTCGGTCCGCTTCCCTCGGCCTGTTTGGTGCATCCCACTGACGTGCATATGCCTCGAGGCAACCTCCTCTATGGTAACATTCTGGACTCCTGTTACCTAGGAAATGTAATCCCCACGCACTCGTCAGGAGCAGTCCTAAGCAGCAGATATCTGACTGCTAACTTTAGCAGCTCTGATAAAGAATCAGGCAGAAATCAGCGTCCCAGGAACATTGTATGTAGCGCAAAACAAATTCAGTTTCCATCTCCATGTTTTTGTGAAATGTGCATGAACAGGGACTGAATAATTTATAATTCTCTTGTCCACAAAATGACATGCCTTACAGTCCACACATATATGTTATCATTGAATCCTTCCTGCGTCTGCTTGGACAGAATAACCTTTCAACTCTAGCTATTGCTCTCTGTCTCTTTAGAACTGCTTTATTTTTTCCTTTTTTAGAAGAAAACCAACAAGTGCTAATAGATCGTCCGAGCAGCGGAAGGTGCATTGTGGATCTGTTAGCATCAGGAAATGCTACAGTACAGACAGAGTGCCTGGCTCTGCTGCAGCTGTACATTCATACTCAGCATGGGAGGCATCTGACCATCGCACACCTCAATCTGCACAAGTAAGGGAGACCTCATATTAGACAGCCTTATGGCAGCCTTAACAGCAGGATCTGGATAGAGACTCTGACTCTGATAAGAGCCGAGGCCCTGACACTGACTCGATTATAATGAGCTGATAGACTGACTCTGATTTTGATATCTGAACAGTCTCTCTGACTCTAACATCAGCCCCTATGTTTACACTGACCCGGAATCAGATATGACGAGATGTCAGGGTCACTCTGACTGATACAGTGAGCTGTGTTATGCTGATCCAGAATCAGATATGACGAGATGTTATGGTTGATGACAGGTTGGTGGAGAACTTGTGGACATGCCTGTCAGCCCTCCCCAGCTTGGAAGCCAAGGCTCTCGAGGTGCTGCAGGGCCTGGCGGTGGAACGCAGGTGGGCGATTCCCCCGGGTCTGGCCATGAGCAGTGCTGATGTTCACTTTGTGCTTATATCTTGAGTCCTTACTGGATTGAGCATTTAAACACAGACCCCAGGAACTCAATATCTCAGAATGACGGTGATGGAGTCCTCTTTGTAAGAATGTTTCCAGACATCTGCCGTCATGAAGTGTTTGAGACTGATATTGGATTTTCTTCGCCTTTATGTCACTATCCAATGAGTTTTATATACACTGCCCATCCAAAAAAAAAGTCGCCATTTGAATTTATATCAGCAAATACTTAAATGCCAATGACTATAGATCATTATTACAGTCCTGCAATGTTATGCAGCAATAAAGTAAAGTCAGCTGAGTACCTGAATCTACTGAATGGCCAGGTTACACCTCCATCCATCATCAATGGATTTTCTCTTCCCTGTTGGCATGGGCATATTCCAGGACAAGAATGCCAAGATTCTTTGGGTTCAAATTGTCAAAGATGGTTCAGGGAGCATGAGGAATAATTTTCACGCATGACTTGGTCACCACAGAGTTGTGACCTTAACCTCATTGATGGTCTCTGGGATGTGATGAAGGACGCTTTATGGAGGTTCAACTCACTTGTCAATACAGGATCTCGGTGAGAAATGAATGCAAATCTGGATGAAAATAAAGGATGAGATGTTGCATAAGCCTGTGGAAACAATGCCATGACAAATATGCGCCATAATCAAAGCTAAAGGCGGCCCAATTCAAATGGCGACTTTTTTTTTGGACAGGCAGTGTACGTTTTAATAGATATCCCTGCGTTATTATTTGTTTCAATCAATTACTGTTAATTTGTGCAATCTGTCTATAGTATGTGGAATTAATGTATTGATGTTCTCACTACTTTTTCAGATTTCAAATTCAGATGAGAGACAATTTTACAAAATTATTTGTGCCAACTTTAGTTTACCAACTGGTAAGATATTTTTATGCTGTTTTTGACTTAATGCTGAAATGCTTGTCTTATTACATCCTTTGTTATTGACAATACCATCATTTTGTCCTTATCGACTTTCAGAGAAATATTAATACAACCAACCAGAACAGCCTTGCTCGCGTCATATTGATTGTTGGAAGTATGGCAGCTGATGATGTCATTTGTAAGGAGACTGCTGGTCTCCAGGAATGCTGGGATGCCTTTGCTGTTGCCATGGTAATTCGCCTCTAATTAACAACTGCGTTCTGAAGGAAACATTTGCCACTGTGAACTTTAACATAAGCGCACCCATTTTCCGGAAGGAAATCGGTAGAAGGCGGTTTATATTTTGCAGCTGACATTTCGCGTTGAAGCTGAAGCTGAAGCTGACACGTGAGCAGCGCTGTCAGCAGAAAAGCACGTTTCTCTGTTTCACTGCAAGCTCAAAAAACAATGTTGTGTTTTAGGAGCAAGCCAGTGGCGCTGAACACAGGGAAACTCTCTGCACACTGTCACTTCTGATAATGAAGCTCTCTGCCAGTGCATCCTCTGCCATACAGGTACTGTAGCACCACTTCGGCACACTGGCCAGCCCCTGTGAGCACAGCCACTGTTCCCCTTCAGTGTCTGGCTCAGAACTGAAATACACCATTAACACATTTGTTTGTCCTAACATCAGAATGTCCATCCTTTGTTTCCTCCCCTTTGCTGAATCTGTCTCCAGCCCCACCCCCAAATACAGCCCCCGTTCCTTCCTCACTTCCTTGACTGATGGAATTCTCTTTTCCGCTATGCTTGGACACTCGCATATCCAAACCAGGCCTGTGTTTTTTTTTTTCCCTATTCAGCAGGAGTTTGCCGTCCGCGCAGGACGTGTGTGCCTGCGTCTGTTGAATGATCCTGAAGGTAGTATTATCACGGTGAGTTGGGGGGGCTGGGTGGGGGTGCTTAGGGGCCTCCTTAGCAAACATCTTGTGGCCGCAAATCCCAGAGCCGATTGTAAATAAAGATACTCTAACAGTGATATCCACAGCTATCCGCTGGTAGGCCGAGGTACTGGCATTTGCAGTGCATTATTAATACAGATGATAGTTGTTTAGAGAAAACCCTTCATAAACATCCATCCATCCATTTTCTGCTGCTTATCTGGGGTCGGGTCATGGGGGCAGCTGTTTAAGCAGGGATGCCCAGACCTGTCACCAGCCACCTCCTCCAGCTCCACCGAGGGAATCCCAAGGCATTCCCAGGCCAGTCGAGAGACATAATCTCTCCAGCGTGTCCTGGGTCTGCCCCAGGGTCTCGTCCCAGTTGGAAGTGCCTGAAACACCTCCCCAGGGAGCCATCCAGGAGGCATCCATGATACTGTAGATGCCTGAAAACCGCAACTGGTTCCTTTCAATGTGGAGGAGCAGAGGCTCTCCTTTAATCCCCTCCCGAATGTCTGAGCTCCTCACCTCACCTCTCCCTCATCTCTAAGGTTGAACCCAGCCATGCTGCAGAAGAGACTAATTTCAGCTGCTTGTATCCGCGATCTCATTCCTTCGGTTACTACCCAGAGCTCATGACTATAGGTGAGGCTAAGAACATAGATCGACCGGTAAATTGAGAGTTTTGCCTTCCGGCTCAGCTCCCTTATCACCAAAACAGAACAGTACAGCGTCCGCATTACTGCCGACACTGCACTGATCCATCTGTCGATCTCCTGCTCCCTTGTTCTCTCACTCATGAACAAGACCACGACATACTTGAACTCTTCCCCTAGAGGCAATAACTCACCCCCCACCAGGAGAGGGCAAACCACCCTTTTCCGGTCAAGAACCATGGCCTCAACACCTCGCACCTCAACACCACCACCTCAGCAATGGAGTCCTGGAACATGGCCCGTTCAGGCTTCATGTCCCCTGACTCCCTCGGGAGAGAAGAGAAATTCTGCTGGAGGTGCGAGTTGAAGATCTCCCAGACAGGGTCCTCCACCAGACGCTCCCAGCTCACCCTCACTATGAGTTTGGGTCTATGAGGCCTATCCGGATCCACCTCACCACAAGGTGGCGATCAACTGACAGCTCAGCTCCTCTCTTCACCCGAGTGTCCAAAACATACGGATGCAGATCCGACCATATGATTATAAAATCGATCATCAAACTGCGGCCTTCGGTGCTCTGGTGCCCATTTCAATATAATGCTATGATGATTTTAAAAAGAACCTGTTTTCAAACCCAACTCTTAACATTTCATTTGAAAAATTACAGATACGAAACTTATAAAAATGCACATATAAAACAGACATTAAAGTTGTTTTGTTGATTGAAATGCATTGGATTTCTCTGTCCTGTGCGGCAGACTGCAAAGCAGCGCCGGACATCCCGGCAATGCCGGGTGATGTAAATAATGAGCAGACGCAGGGCAGACTCTGTCATCCGTGGCAAACAGTGTTTTTCACCAGAGATTCTTACATTTTAAACGATCTCAAGTTAATTCAGCATTGCTGAGGGGGATGCGTCTGTCCACCAGCGTGTGACTTGGTGAGCTGCTCCTCCGCGGTGCATGACCGGCCTACATCATGAACCTGTGTCCACACAGAGGGCTGTAGGCCTCCTGAGTGTGCTCCTTCCATGCTCCCCCGTCGCCATCCAGGAAGCCGCGGAGGCAGGACTCGTAAAGAAGATGCTGAGGATACTGAAGGTAAAGATGTGACTCAACCCGTTTGGCTCATAGTGCCAGACCTGGCCTAACTGATCATGGATCAGGCAGGAGCAGGTGTGAGATGGAGGTCTGTATGCGATTTGTTATTGAAGTATCAATTGAAGTGGCCTTCCAGGATGCTGGGCTCAGGGTTTCTTTGGTGTGCACAGGCGCCCAATATGGGCCTGACCAGGACTCGGTGCTCCATGAAAACCCTGGCCGTGTGCACAGGTGCGAGCCGGCAGGCCCGTGCGGAGCTGCTGTGCCTGGACAAGAGTGAGTGCAGGCCGTAATTCTAACACCATATATTCTGAGGTATACCTTTCTGTGCATATACAGGAAACAAAGACTTAAAACACTATGCACAAGCTACTCAGATGATTGCACAGTGCAGTGCAATCAAATGAATGAATATGGGTTCTGAACATTGATGACTTGCGTTCTTTTTGAGTTCAGCCAAAACTTTTTGGCACTAGGCCTTCATCAGTGTGTCTGATGAAGAACTCGGCCCCGATTGTCATTTGTTAAATCCTGTGGAGAAAATACTGATGGTAACTCGCTCCAAACTGAGAAGCCTGTGTTTGCCTGTGTCTCGATGCACAGGGTTGGGCGTCCTGAGAAAGCTGCTGTCCAACAGTGACGAGGTGGTGGCGGGAAACGCCGCTCTGTGCCTGGGGCACTGCGTGGGGGAACGGGGGGTGGCCCGCGCCCTGCTGGACTCCGACGTGCTGCCGCTGCTGCTCCGCCTGGCTGGGGGGGACGCGGGGGGCGAGGGAGTGCAGCGGAACGCCGCTGTGGCCCTGGGCAAGCTGTGCGTCTCTGAACCCAGGTCAGTCGGGCCCTCGGGGCCAGTGCATTACTTGCCTTTAACTCTGCAGGCAGGATCTTTCTGGAAAAACTAACTAACGGGGGATTAAGTTCAGAGTCTTTGGTATGTTAGTCCCATCAAAAAAAAGTGTCATGAAGTGCCTTGGACTGTGTGTATTAATCTGAGGTGTTTGTTCATTTTCAGGCACACTGTCAAGCTGAGGGAGCTTCACGGTTTAGAAATACTTCATTCCTGCATGAAGCTGGTGGCCTGAGACCTCACTCACTCACCAGCTCGCACCGTTTGCTATCGCAGTTCCCGGTGCCTCAGAGAACCGGCCCCCAGGGATGATGCAGTCACTTCTTGCCGTATGGATGACCCCCGCTTCATAACGATTGAACTATCCCCCTTTTATGCCTGTTTTTATTGTGACTGCTCTTTTTCCTGGTGTTTGATTACAAAATTATAACCGAAAAAATGTAAATGCTAGCGTTGATTCTTTCAGAAAAATGTGAAGACCTTGTATGCTTATGTCATACATATATGCTTAAACATTTTGGGCATTTTTGTTCTCCCAGAGTGAGCAGCTGTGTGTCAGGTGAGAACAGTCATTGGACCTGGAGATATGATGCTCCCTATATAAACCAGGCAGTGGGTTCACTATCAATGACATACTGAGTCCTACTGTATATGAACCACATGTTAGACCCAGTATGAATCATATGACAAGCTCCATTTACGTGGTACATACATCATTCTTGGAGGTTGGAGGTTTTAACTACCTCCAACAAAAAAAATCATTTCCCTGTACGCTTCTACCACTACGAAAAGTTTCTTACAACAAAATGAGTTTTTTTTTTTTTTTTTTGGAAAATGAGCAGCTATGTGTTTGTAATCGCATAACCGTGAAAGAGAGAGAGAGCCTGTGCACACAAATGAAACCTCTGAAAGCTCAGCCCAGGATGCAGGACAGAAACATGGACGACTGGGTTTTTGTTCTGTGTGACGCACATTGCTCAGATGGGGAAATCTAACTCCACCATAAATGAGGCAGAGGACTGAAAAGGCGCGAGGCGGGGTTGGGGAACCGCAAAATTCTGCGGGTAAGGAGGTTCTCGTACACCGTCTCAGAGTGAAATCGGACTTTCCTTGAAGTTGAATCAATTTCTAAAAATGAGAATAAACATATTGCATTTAATGTTGCTTGTTTCTGGACAAATGGGTAAGTTTCTTTAGACTTTTTCATTGTAAAATAATGTTTAATGCTGTATTATAACAAGGCAGCTTAAAACTTACGTTTATTGTTCTGTTTTTAATTCATTGTCATTTATGCAATTCTTTTTTGAATGTAGAAGATTAAAAATTCTTTATTAAATCATTTGTGACAACTCGTGGAGTAACGACACTTTACTATGCACTGTTTTAGAAAGGAACCTGGAAACATTTTGCGACCTATGATCAAACGTCATACAGATATATCTTGCTAAGTCTCTCTTCTTCAAAAATGTGTTTATCGTGAATGAGGAGACGTGACAGATTATTTAATTAAATATTAATGCAGTGTCAGTTTTTAAATAAATTTAACGCTGCACTTCAAGCAAGTGATCACAGCTGTCGCAGTGTGGAGGGAAGGGCCAACCTTGTGTGGCAGTTACAGATGTGTACAGTATATACTGTATATAATTTGCTTGGTGTTTTTTTTCCAGTCATAGCTGTAAACATGCAGGACAACTCAACCTCACAGCCCTGGGGCCCCCTTTCTCTAAGTGCCCCTCTGAGTGGCTCAGGCACAATGCAGCAGGCGGAGCCTAAGTTGGGGGGGCGCTTGTTCAACACGGCTGATGAAATGACCCACCTTCATGGGGCAAACACCATCAGTTCAGGCAATAAGGACGCTATCGTGTCACAAGCTGGACAGCACGTTCTAGAGGATGGGTCACATTTGCTGACTGAGAGTGAAGACGGTCCATCAGGCATGAAGTTTGCCTTAGCACCAAATTTCGCGTCAATCTTTAATTATGAAAAAGCTATTTTCTCCTCAAATGCAGCTGGCTTTGAGCTGATGATGAATGGCACCTTGATGACTGAAGCTCCTCTGTCCAATCAGGGGGAAAAATTCTCTTCTCCACTTCAAGCTCTGCTTAACAGGAATAATCCACGGCTCACAGAGTCCATTACTCCGTTCTCTACAGATATGGGCCGGAGTATGCCGATGATATCCATCTTCGAAACTTTGGCTGCCGATAAGCCAGGAGACACTAAAGGCACTGAGAAGAAAAAGGATGAGAACAAGACCCAGAATGGAGTTTCGCAATTGTATGAAACAGTACATCCCTCAAATGGAGGGATATTAATCATGAATGACAAAGTGCAGCTGTCAATGACCGGGTTGAGCACTGAGAACCCCAAGGGTTTGACATCACTGCGTGAAAAACAATATACAAGTACTGAAACTTTTGTTAGCCCGAGCTCCTCGCAAGACAGACACACACAAGGACAGCAAGTTAGCATTGATGCTAGCCCAGCCCCCCATGTGTGGACCCCCTCTGCAGCCATGGGGCAGGACACTGGATTGCCTGCAAGTGTACACGTTGCCAGCAGTGCAGTCTTGCTGACAGCTGTGTTCAATTTTTATTCCCAAAGACATACAATTAAGGGGAAACAAGCTTCTGTATTCAATACAACACCTACAAAGTCTCCTTTAATAGTCAAGGATCATTCCACAAGAGAGATAGACTTAGTTCTTAAACCAAAACAAAGCAGAGAATTACTCTTTCACATGAAAAAAGAGCAATCTACTCAGCCTTCTACCAAAATTATAGCAAAAACGTCTGACATTTCAAAACTTGTAACTACTGAAACTTTGCAGATGTTACATGTGACTTCAGAAAGTCACAAAATGTCTGGGAGGGACAAAAGCACACCTGATCCATTAAGCAGTGACTTTGTGAGCCACATCAGACATGAATCAAACAGTAGCAATATGGATAATCAGACTCTGAGCCCTGAGGGTCTGGACTCTAACCTTATGCCAACAGAACAAGATAAAACGTCTGCTTTAGTGTTTCACAGCTTTGCCACTAATGCTCTAAGAGCAGCTGCTCTTCAGGCTTCAGCTCCTTCTGTAGCTGTTTTTCAGCTTTTAGCTCCATCAGCAACCACTCCTCAGTCTTGGGTTATCTCAGCATCTGATCGGCCTGCAGCTCCATCCCCAGTTCCCGCTCAGTCTTCAGCACCACCATCTGCTGTCTCCCAAACTCCAGCTCCATCCGCACCAGCTTCTCGGACTGTAATCTCAGTAACTGCTTCTCAGTCTTTCGCTACGTTAGTGGCTTCAGCTCAGCCATCAGCGCCATTAAAAGCGGCTTTTCAGCCTTTGATACAGTCAGCAACTCAACATTCAACACAATCATCAGCTACTTCTCATCCTTTCCTTGTGTCAGATGTACCAGTCACAATGCTAACCCAGACACCCAATGAACTACAGATGGGGACCAAAGTGCCGTTAACTCAATCCACATCAGTCTCTCAATCTTCAGCTTCTCCAGCATCTCCTTCTTTGTCTTCAGCTCCTTTAGTGTTTCTTTCTCACCCTTCAGCTCCACCTGCAGATGCTTCTCTGCTTTTCCTTCCACCAGCAACTACGTTCCAGACTTTAGCTCCGGCAACTTCCTTCCAGTCTTCTACTTTATTAATAACTGCTTCGCAAACTTTGTCTCTACCAAGAGCTGCTTCACAGATTTCAGTTCCATCACCTGCTGCTTCTAATCCTTCCGCTTCACCAACAGGTGTGTCTCACATTCAGCCTTCCGCTCCATCAGCTTCTCCTTCACAGGGTTTAGCTCCTTTACCAGTTAGTTTGCATGCTTCTGCTCCATCAACACCAGTTTTCCAGCCTTCAGCTTCATCAGCCGCTTCTGAGCCATCATTCTCATTAAAAGCTGCTACACAGACTTTGAGACAGTCAGAAGCTCAACATCTGCCGCAATCATCAGCTGCTTCTCAACCTCCCTTGGTGACAGTTGTACCAGTAAAAGTGCCATCCCTGAATCTCAATGAATTGCAGATAGGGACCAAAGTGCCATTACAAACTGCTTCACCTGCTTCACCAGTAGCCACTTCTCACCATTTAGCTCTATCCACAGTCCCCCTTCAGTCTGCAGTTTCATCAGAAATTGCTTCTTTGTCTTTAGCTCATTCAACATTTGCTTCTCACCCTTTAGCTCTATCACCATCTTCTTCCCAGTCTTCTACTTCATCCATAAGTGCTTCTTCATCTTTAGCTCCACCAACAGAAACTTCTCAGATTTTGACTACACTCTGGCCTTCACCACAGTCAACAGCTCAACATTTGTCACAAGCATCAGCTGCTTCTCAATCCCTCTTTGTGACAATTGTACCAGTTACAGTGCCACCCCTGAATGCCACTGAATTGCAGATAGGGCCCAAAGCTCAAGCAAAAAGCACTGAAGCGTCAAAGTTTGTGAAAGCATCATCGCTCTGGCCTCCCACTCCCAACGTGAATGTGTTTATGTTTGTGTTGTCCAGAAGCTCTCATCCAAAACTAATAGCGGCCAACTTAGATGCTACTCAACCACCAACAATTCCTCTCTCACCTGTAACTCACCCTCCGTTTGCTCCTTCAACAATTAGTGCTTTTGCTAAGCTGGAAAGGCAGAACTTGAACAGAACCATACAAACAGAATCTCATGCCTCCAAGCTAACACCAGCAAGACAGGAGTTGACTTTGTCCCATAAATTATTTTCAATAACGACAAGAAACTTACCTTTGCGCCAGAGTAGCACTGCTAAAAATAATCCTACAGTAACTCACTCTGTTGCTTCTCTTGAAGATCTTTACAGGAAGGACGGGCCTATAACATTTATTGAATTACTTTCTTTCAATGAATCTGAAAAAGGTTTAATATCTTTGTCGAAACAACAACATAATCGAAATAATGTTAGCGACGGCATGCAACAAAGTGACGACATATCTACCACAGCTGAATATCCTTTTAAAACACACAATGGAAACGTACATACAAAACAAGATCCATTATTCAAGGATGGTGTCTATAATGCTACTCAAAACATGACCTCAGGTTCTCCATCACTGGAAAAAGATTTAACAGAAAGGAACAAATTTCCTTTTAGTAAAATTGAAGACGTTACTAATGTGATAGTCAAAGAAATACTAAGAGCCTCAGGCTCTGTTGCTCAGGGTAAACTGTCTCAGTTCATTGGTACAATTGAAAGTCCCATTAGTCCATCAAAGGATCTTATTCTGACCCCAGCTGTGGTTTTAAATCAGCCAAAGGAAGAAAGAGGCACGTTGCTCATTGACAGAACTGTTACTGGGAGTGAACTACAACAGAGATTCTCTGTGCTTCCTTTCACCGTGGTTAATAGGTTACTGATAGCTGCTCCGGTCACTCAGCCAGCATACGTCAGCAAACATGCTTCCTCGGGGCTACCGCACAGCTCACCGGAACGGCAGGCATACAGGTCCACTGAGAACAAAGTCTTTTCTGGGATACTTACGTCGCCCCTACCTCCAACTAAATCTACGGACCCATTTGCCCATGACACCACTGATCTCCCTTTGTCCAGAAGACACACATCTCTGACTTTTGATATGCTCAAGAAGCGAAAACAAAATGCCGCTGTCCATTTTAGCCAGTTCCCAACTCCTTCAGAGTGGCTCGCTGGTACTCATTCAAGTGTTGGGCCTGAGCTGAAGAATGAGCCCTCGGAGGCTTTGGAGAGGTCCAGCCCCAGTGTCCAACTGCAGCAGAGCACGCCATCGCCCTCCAAGGAAGGTGAATTGAGGACCCCCCAGGCTCCAACCATACAGATAACCGGTCAGAGGGACAGAAATCCCCCTGGAAATTTTATTAAGAAACTAATGGAAGAAGCAGTCAGATCTGAAGCCTCTCTCAAGGCGAAAAGATTGCTACTTCTTCTCGATCTTTTCCTCAGTGGGTAATTCCACCGTTTCATTCTCAACGCACAGCACAACCATACATGAGCAGCAATTGTGGCAAACGTGATATAACCCATTCATGTTAAGATTAAAGGAAAACTCCACAAGACACTTGACGCGTGGCTGAAATTGTACACACTTTCTCCTGTCATTAAGAAGCTTCACTGTGCTACTATTTTAGGATGTCCATTGTAGCTTATACAAATCTGCACCCCCAAAAGCATCTGATCCTTTTCAACACAATTCTGTGAAAATGCCACAGATTATCATTTGGTGTAGGTTCCCCTAATTGCTTTTGTTTCAGCCTGGCAGAGGTCTCTGATGACATCTGTGGGACAGGAAACCATACAGCCAATGTGATCCTGAACCTGGAGAGAGAGCTCCTGCCTGCCGACTCAGTCCCAGCCATCAGGAAGCTGCAAGTAGTCATCAGTGTGACGGCCAACAGCAGCCAGGAGAACCTGACCGTAACATCTTGCTGCGTCTCACCCATGCCCTGGGCCGGCCCGCTCAACACCATCTGCTGCCTGCTCTCCAGGTGAGTGAGCCTTCCTCTGGAGAGTGCCATTCCACACATGTCCACACAGAGGCGCCATGGGCCCGTGATGGCAGGTGTGATGGCAGGGAAATCAATCAATAAATCAAATCATCACATTTATACAATGTTATGTTACAAGCAGGTTGCTGTGAAGCATTTCATGGGCAATTTTTTCAGAGGTAACAACAGAACAGAAAGGCTCAGAATTGACATATGTCATGACCCCTCCAGAGATAGCGATCAAACGAAATACCTGGAGGAAATCACAGGTCACAACACAACTGTAAAATACATATGGGAGTATTTTGACTGTGCTTCTGAACAACTGATGGTTACTGATCATACCCAGGTCATGTTGAATTTGTGTTTTTTAGAGATAACCAGTGCAATCATATTTTTCCCTGAGTAATTTTCTGATAAGCTATTCTGTGAACATCATCAGCATTCTATAAACTGACAGAGGACAAACAGTTTGTACAAACAGAGAATAGTCTTAGAACAGCACACTGGTAAAAATGTTTTTTTTTGCCATTCAGTCTAAAACTGTGTTTTATCTGTAGATAAAACAGCCCTCACTGGGTTAAATGTATTTTTGCTTGTAATCTGATGAATTAGGCGGAAAACTGGATGGCTTAAATTTAACACTGTAAATCATTCATGTACACACTTCTGTTTAAACACTGGGGAGTTTTGCTCATATTTGTGGTGCAGGATTGCCGTGGGTACTTACTTGTGATTCGTTTATTAATATTTATGCATGTGTATGTCACGGATATGAATGTGAATTGAATGAACTTGAATTGATGTGATGGATGTGAATTTAATTAAGTTAAATATAAACAATGGATGTGAATTTAATGATCTGTAAGCAATGTAAGCGATAGATGCTTTCTCCGTGGAGGGTGACAGATCATCCAGGCTTGTCCTCACCCCAGTGATGATGCTGTTCACTGATCTCTGAAAAGCATTATCCTGACCTCTATGGAATAGAGGCGCACATAATCCCCTTAACTTACACGGGTGCTTCCATCAACAATATCATTCACACTACACACCATAATCAAAGGCATCATAATGCTTTTCCGTTATGTTCTTCCATCAATGATTTTCCAGATAAGCATCTCATAGTATGCCTCTGAGATGCACATTTGTAAGAGGCTGTCGCCCAGCTCCGGTGAGAAATGCTGTGCCACCTGCAGATTACCCACAGACCCACGGGTCATCGGGCCGCTCCCAGGTGACCTGTCAGAGAGCACCAGCCTCGCCGTCCATCTCTACCGGGTGGCCAACAGCTCCGTGGCGCGTTTGCACCGCAACATCAGCGCCTGCCCCGGCACCCGAGCGGACTGTGAGATGGTTTGTGGTTGACTGGAGTCCACGGTTATCAGGCTGCCTAGACAAGATCCTGCTGAACACCGGCACAGCACCCACCCCTCAGAGCAGCAGGAAACTAATTTTGTCAATTCATTGATATTGAAAACATTTCAATAGCACAGGGCTGCTAACTAGCTAGCTCACTTGTTTCACAAGAAAAGTAGTGACATATTAAAACTAGTAATAACTGTAATCGCACATTATTACAGATTTTTCTTCACTTGCTCTTTTGCGCAAATGGTGGCCAAGGCGATTGCCTCTGCGGCCTACAGGGCAGGCCGGGCCTTGCTCACACGTGTAGCGCAGAACACAGCAGTACGGCGTACCTTTCTCTGTTCTAGTGGTACTGTACGATGTCGGGCTGGCTTTCTCTAGACAGCCATAAAACATTCAATGAAAAAATGTGTTTTTGTTTTCCCTTCTCCTTACTGCACATATGCTGCGTTTATGTCGCTAACCGCTAACCGCTAACCGCACTGGTGTGCTCCTGCTGCGTCTGTGACAGGGGAAGCTCCACTCAGAAAAGAGCCTCAGAACTGCCGTTAACTATCCTGGGACCTGGATTTCCTTTGGTCCGGTACTGAGAGGAAAGGAGGTCGACTCTGATGCAGAGAGCAGAGGTGAGATGGGATCTTTCCTTTTGTACTCTGTACTCTCTGCGAGGGGCTTGATGCCTTCACTTTATCAAACATCTCGCGATTTGTGGACACCCTCAGAGGCAGGTATTTTTCCGAATTCGGTGGTAAAGCCTCTGGGAAATCCATTGACATTCCTACGATTTATTCATGCATATGAACGTCAGCCGATAAGATCTCTGATATAGTTTTTATAAAAATCCCAGTTTTTTCCCCTATGACATGTCCACCAGTAAACAGGAAGACAAGAACTCACAACAGAAGTAAACATTCTTCTGTTTCGGCTTCCACATAAGCCTTCTGCATGTTTCATAAATGTGAGGAACTGCACACAAAGTTAAATTTATTTCTTTAATATGCTTCAAAATAAAACTATTAAAATTGTTTCTGTCTATGTTCTGGCTGTGAATTTACCTCTTAATATTTTTCCCTCCTTGTGAGTATGCATTTTAATCTTCCTCACAGGCCCCGACAAGACGAGCCAGCCCAGGGAGGCTTGGGGTGGGGCTGGCTTAGGGTGGGGCTGTGTGCTGCTGCTGGCTGCCTTCAGCCTGCTTTACCTGGGCTGCCGGCGTGGGCAGGGGGGACGGCCTTGGATAAAGTCATCAGGGAGTGCTGACCAATCACAACCTGACCACTGGGTGTAGCTCCTGGCCTAAGGACCAATCAGAGAGAAGCCATTTGGTCTGCTTCAATCCTAGTCTTCTGTTGTGCCATCCCCAACTATCTGGAATCACAACTACACCCTGGAGCTATAATCAATCCCCACTGACATGCTGACGAAAGGCCAACTGTAAAGGAGGGCTGCTGTGCCACTCATAGTCCTTCTGCACATATATGCGCTGTGCAGTCATGTATAATGCATTATGGATACCTTCATAATGCATTATAATGCATTCATAAAGTATTACAGACAAGGCCATAACTATAAAAAGGCATGTGTTAAATTTTTAATGTGTTAAAAAGACATCTTTTTAATTAATAGTTATAGTCATGTTTCTAATACTTTATGAATGCATTATAATGTGTCATGAGGATATCTATAATGAATTATGACGACTACTTTATGTAGTGTTACCAAGGTCTGATTGCTCATTTGCTAAGTAAAATTTTAGCTGGTTGGTTATGGGAGTTTAGGTGTTACTGAATTAGGTCAACAAGCCTGGCAGCGCAGATCATTTAAGGCAGCAGAGATAAACTTTAGCATAGTATTTGTTTATAACATTTATAGCAGATGCTAATTTTTTTCCAGTTATGCTGTAAATGTAAAAGAATAAAAGTTGGATTAGTTAACATTATTTGTTCATAAATTGATCATTTCTCTCACAAATAACAGCAATTACCAATGGTTATTTTCATTAACTTATTCTGATTTTTTTTTTCATAAATAAAATAAGCTTGTGTCATTTTATTGAAAATGCATATTTTAAAAAGCTTTCTTGGGAATTGCACTTTTCATCCAGACTTCCCTCAACATACTGGCTTAGCAAGGTAAGCTTGGCCAGTTGGCTCCCACTGAGAGACATGTGTAGGTCAAGCTCTTCTGGAGACCAGACAGGACCATGGCAAGTAATCAGTTGTAAGTGAAACAGATGCACAAAATTCATTATGCCTTATATACAGCTTATACATATACATGTAAGGTTGATATCAGGGATGGACTGATAGAATTCGAAAGGTTGTGTAATCTGCCATGCTGGTTTTTGTTCCAGGTTCATCCTGGTTGATCTTCCCATATGCATATGATCCATACCAGTGTTTCCCAGTATGGTCCTCGAGCACCCACAGTCTACATTTTTGGACCAGGGAGCTGGGAGGGTGCTAAAATGTTGGCCGTCAGTGGATCCCCAAGGACCGGGTTGGGAAACACTGATTGATACAGTGGAGCATAGATGTCTAACTGTTCCTCAACCGCTCAGGCCATGTCTAGGGACAGACATGGCCTGAGCGGTTGAGGAACAGTTAGACATCTATGCTCCACTTAAAATTTTTCCTGATTTAGGTTGCGCACTTTCCTCATTCTCTGTTTCTGTGTGCAGGGACGCACACAGAAACAGAGAATGAGGAAAGTGTGCAACCTAAATCAGGAAAAATTTTAAGTTGGAATCCACACAAGATTGGAATTTTAATGGACAGTTTACATGAGATCTTTGACAAGGCAGCAAAATAACGAAGTATCTTTCCAAGAGGCACTGAAAGTCTTAAATATACTGTATGAGTAATGCAAAAATCCTAGTAACATCCCATAATGAAATAAAGGGAGGTATGAAAGAGAGATCCTGCAGGAACACTGTGACGCTTCATAAACATGTTTTCATAATGATATTTGGCCTATGTAAACAATAACAGGAATATGACAGCTTCAGCCTGAGGGATTTTTTTAGAACTCTCTGTGCTTTGTGTACGTATTGTGAGCAGTTTGGGAAAACTGGCAATGGCAACACGCCTGTCAGAAGAGGGGCAGGGGAAACAAAGAGAATCCTGTATGAATCTTCCTTCAGTTGTCTGTCTCATTGCTTGAGTTGACAGGAGAAAATGAGCTTTTCACCATGTGAATAAAAAGGACTATAATCAAGCTCCCGTTAAAGTGAACACGCAAGTTCAGGCTCTCTCATTGTCTCTGAAAACCTTGTTGCTAAAACAGTAGAGGGGGATTAACTGATGGAAGAATGATGATCATTTTTGGCTGCTCTTATATACCTTAGTTACATTGTCCCAGGTTTTAATGGATCTGCTGCGAAGCGGACTTTGCAGTGAGGAGGTACAGCTCTGCTTTCTCCTCAGAAGTTTCTCGGTGACGACCGGGCCATGTCATAATTATTGAAAGCCGAGTGCTGGTCGCGGACGCAATGGTAGCCTGGGAGGCGGCATAGATCTATATGCTGAGAGGCTAGAAGGGTCCTGACTTCTACTTAGTGCTGGACAATATAACCATTAAAGATTTATAGATCGCAAGAGCCGCTCGTTATCAGCACGGATCTGCTTCGTCATTTGTTCCTCGTTCTGTTTGTTTTTATTGATCGTTAATGTGTCTGTATGTGTATGTGTGGGGGGGCAGCTATGATTTAACAAATAAGGTTGTAATAAGTGGACGGCAGCTGGCACTTGAAGCATGCAGGCAGGGAAGCAGGTTATTTTTCACCCCCGCCCTTCCCAGCCTCCCCAGGCCTGTTTGGCAGGCAGAGAAAACCGGCCATGTGACATTGCTAAAGAAACACTCAGCTCCTCCCACCTGGCTGTACCGTAAACCCTAAAAGCAGTTTCCCCCTCGGCATTTGCCACCTGTGGATCCGTTTCCTGACTGTGCAGGTGTGACTACCAGAGTGTCAGGCTCTCAAACCCGATGGAGCCCACTGACCACAGGGAGCTGGGGAGGTTCCAGCACTTCCAGCTGGACGATTTTGAGGCCGACTGGACGAAGGTAGCGGAGGGAACTCTGGGGCGAGTCTACAAAGTGAAACTGAAAGTGTGGAGGGAGACGTTTGCCATGAAACAGTCCTCCAATTCCACCTCCAGTAACATGATCTACAGGTATGGTGGACTTCCAGCATGTGAAACTGGGTTAGAATTGTTTTTATGTCACTTCTTCCAGGGCCTCTTTTGTTATGTGAAACTTTTGCGTCATAAAAAGAAAAAAATAGTTAGAATTGCAATGGCTTTTCCACCAATATTGCAGGTTGAATATTGGTATGAAATTATACAACATGGCCAGTTAAGTTGCAGTGTTCATGCAGACCCTAAATCAATAAGTATTTGAAGATCAAATACATAGATCTGTGTTTCCCAACCCAGTGCTTAGGAACCGACAGACGGTCCACATTTTTGCTGCTGTCTGCGGGTCCCTGAGGACCAGATTGGGAAACACTGATATGGATTAATACATAATGATGACTGAAGCATGTCACATAATTGCCTTTTGCCTTTTTATTACCCATTGGGGAGGTGTTACCCATGAACATTGACTAAAATATAATGGTGGTTCTTCTGTGTTTGTAGACAGCTCTACACCTCAGAAACCATGTTCTGACAAATCTACTAGAGACAAGGTTAAGACCTGGTACCTGTTATGGTATTTTACATCATGTCCTTTTTTTTTTTTTTGTACAGGAGAATGGTAGAGGAGGCTTCAAAACTGGAGAAAGTGAAATTCAGCCATATTGTCTCCATCTACGGCGTGTGCAGCGACCCCCCTGCCGTGGTGATGGAATTCATGAGCAACGGCTCCCTGAACGCCCTCCTCCACAGCCATGTCCTCATGTGGCCCAAGAAGTTCCAGATGATCCATGAGGTGACCATGGGCATGAATTACCTGCACAGCATGAAGCCTGAGCTGCTCCACCTCAACCTGAAGCCTTCAAACGTCCTACTGGATGATCACCTGCATGCCAAGGTAGGTGTCGTGGCCGGGAGACGGTAGGGGCCCCAGCTCTGACGTGTCTATCATTCTAAGTGAGGTCATGATGTGGGAATGCAGAAGAGATCAAATTTTACATTCTTATGTATTTCCATTCATCAGACGTGAGTTACATCAGTGTTCTCAAGGCCATGTTTTATGTAATTTATAAACACATTCATAATACATTATAGCACATTCATAAAGCATTATAAACAGGGCTATAAATATTTATTAAAAGTTATAACACATTATAGGTATGTTTAGTATGAATTTTAACTGCGTCATGAAGCTCTCATCTATAATGCAATTATTAAGGAATTATAGAAGAGATATAATAATAATTATAGAATTATAGAAGAGAACTTCATAAGGCAGTCATAATGCATAATACAAATGGCTAAGATGTGTTATGCCTTTTGATAAACATTTATAGCCACATTTATAATGCTTTATGAATGCATTATTATTTGTCATGAATGTTTTTATAAATTACTAAAAAGATAGCCTTAAGTAATGTGTTACCCCCTCCTTACACCATTGAATATGTGTACAAAAAGAGATGTTAAAGTTGAAATCAGATTACCGTAACATTTAAACAGTAATCCTTTAACAGATTTCAGACTTCGGATTTGTGAAATGGGAGGACTTTTCCAGTAGTACGGACTTCATCGAGCACATGTCCATGCGGGGAAACACGTGTTACATCCCGCCGGAAATATTCACTCAAAGTCCCGAGGCCCCAGGACCCCAATATGACGTTTACAGGTAACTTCAAAGGCTCCAGTCACGTGTGGTTGTATGTGTCATCGGTGGGCGAGAAAAGACAAGGTGCTCCATCTGACTGTAGAATCTCTTTGCTTTCAGCTTTGCTATCGTGATCTGGGAGATTTTGACTCAGAAGAAGCCCTATCCAGGTACAGGGAGCCTCTGGTCCTGACAGAGATGCCTTTGCAGTGTGACCACTGATGGCACTAATGCTCTCCCTACTGCTGTTTTTGCCAGGGGCCGGAAACATGATGCCGGTGATCATGAAGGTGACGTCAGGCAAGAGGCCGAGTGTGGAGATGGTCCCCGAGGACAAACCGCAGGAGTGTGATGAAATGATCGACATCATGAGATGCTGCTGGAAGCAGGAGGTCGCAGACAGACCGCCCTTCTCAGGTAAGACCCAGCACCTCCACAAGGCCACATGACAAATACCTCCCCAGTCGTCGACAAAGCTGTCGGCGCTTAAAGATCTCAATGCTCATCACTGACTCCATGATCTTCTACCCCATCAATTACTTTTCCCCTCATCAGTGAGACCTGTAAAATGTAACTGGAGCAAAGTACATTTATAATTATTTCAGTCTTCATGACATGTTCTCATACTATGGTTATTAAATAGATTTTAAATTCTAAAGGAATAGTACTCAACCGATTCTCCTTAGTAAATGGGTCAGTAAATGAGTCCAAGCAATTCAAGTTCTAGTGTATTTTCTCTTTCAGAGAACAGTTAAGCATGTTGAAAAAACACATAATGTGATTATTATTATTTTGCATGAATATATTATTTTTACTGGAATCCCGGAGCCCTTAAGTATGTTCTCTGTTTCCTCCAGCTATCGTCAGAGACACAGAATCCCTAAGCGAGGTCCTCAAGATCCCCGACGTGATACGGGCGTGTGGAGAGACGCAGAAGACTCACAGGCGGACTAGCGTGATTCTGTCCATCTTGAATCATGTAAGCACAAGCGCATGGCAGACAGCAAACTCTCACTTTGAGCATTACTATGAGGGCAGTACTTCTAAGGTGACAGAAGGCAGGGTGTCCTTCTCCTGGGTGAGGACCACAACTTAAAGTGAAAACCAACATCGGGCATCCTCTGCTACGTATGATCACTCAGTTGAGTTTTGCTGATTCTGTGGTACAAACGTGTTTCTGTATTACTGAGGGTCTGTTTACAAGGGTGTTTTTGGTTTGATAGGCGTCGACAGCAGGAAAATGACAGGCAGGGAGGTGTTTATTACTAAACCCAGGGATCAGTTTAGTAAAAAAATAAAAGCTATCATAAATAAAATGATTCAAAATAAACTGGACAAACAAAAAAAAACTTGCGCCCATCGGTGCGTTACTCTGCTCACTAGCTACACTTAAATTAAACAGAGAGTACACAGCAGGCTCTGCTTAACACAAAATTTTTGTCAGGGTGATTAACCTTTAAATAACATGCTGACATAGATCCAACCAGCCTTTAATGCAGTGGGGCATTTCTAGATGATTCTGTAGGTAGTAATCCCACATAATACCTCCTTGACTTTCATAATTGGTTCACAGAGTTTCCTCGGTTTGAAACCACAATTGACTATCAATCAATTAAACTATTAAGTTTCACGATTCATGCACCATTAAACAAATCAGCAATGTGCACAAACAGAGTAAAATTCAAATAAACTTTCAGTAAATCATACTTGCATTCTAAACATTCCAAACATGATATATTTCATGAATATATTATTTTCCTGTTTTTCAAATTTCAATGCCGTGTGCTCAAAGATGACATCACCCACCGTTCCCTTAATTTTAAGCCCTTTCTGGCAAGCGAGACAAGTAGCCTGCAACCACATTGTCCTGACCTTTCTGTCAGAAAGCGGGAGTTTGCATGTATCAGAGTATATACCTGTACATGTTCTTAATTTCAGGGACAATAAGCATGTGCCTGTGTGTAAGAATTAAAGTCAGTGATTTGCATGTCCTTTCTCTGCTTTCCCTGTTCCCTTAGGAAACCAAGCCGGGATCGGCCTCGGCCGCAGGTTTGTGACGGGTTCGGCTCTCTGCCTCACATCCTGTGTAATTACATCACCTTCAGCTGACCACTAATTTGTATCGTCTTTAAAATATTTTGGCTCATATCAGTAGCTGATAGGTAAGACAGTTATTGTCACATTCTGCTTGGCTGACTTGAAGAGAGAAAGTCAGGAAATACCGGTTACAGTATTATTGTCTAATATAATAGCCATTGTGATATAATATGAGTTATTAAATAGCATAAGTGTACATTATGTATAGCAGTCTGTTCAGTTCTGTTGGAATCAGCTCCCATGTGGCAGAGACAATGAAAAATATGGCTTTTTATTAGCAAAGTTAAACATCTCCCGCAGGCACGGCGGATGGCTCTGATGATGTCGTCGGCCTCCTCTTACGGAAGGACTTGGAAAGGTTCAAGTCTGTATTACGGAAGGAGCAGGTGTCGGCCGTGTACGCGGGTGGGAACAGCGTCCTGCACTACGCAGCGGCCAGCGGGGACGCAGCGAGCGTCAAGCTCGTGCTGGAGCTGGGTGGCACTGTGGACACCCGGAGCGAGCAGAGCTACACGCCGCTGATCGTCGCCGTCCTGCAGAACTCTCTTGATGTCTGCTCCGTGTTGCTGGACCGCGGCGCCGACGCCAACCTGGGCGACGCCGATGGCTGGACGGCGCTCCACTTCGTGGCTCAGAACGGCGACGACCGCACCGCCCGGCTGCTCCTGGACCACGGCGCGGAACCGGACCCCGCCGAGAAGGAAGGCTGGACGCCGCTGCACCTGGCCGCGCAGAACGGGCACGAGAACATGGTGCGCCTCCTCCTGCCACGCGTGGCCTCCACCGACCGAGCCACGGGCAACGGCAGGACCGCGCTGCACCTGGCGGCCAGGTACGGCCACGTGGGGATCACGCGGCTGCTGCTGGGCCAGGGGGCCGACCCCAACCGCAGGGATGGGCCACAGGGCAGTGCGTTGTATCTAGCTGCGGATGGCGGCCACTTCCGCGTGGCCCGGCTGCTCGTCGGCGCCGGGGCTGACGTCAACCTGACGGACAGTCGCTGCTTTAGCGCACTACACTTGGCGGCCCTCAAGGGCCACACGGGCATCTGCAGACTCCTGCTGGGAAATGGGGCGCAAGCCAACGCCAGGACTGCCCAGGGCTGGACGCCGATGCACTTGGCGGCCCTTAAGGGCCAACCTGCTCCCATCCCACTCCTAGAGGAGCATGGGGCCTCCCTAGATGCCAAAGGAGACAGTGACAGTACCGCCCTGCACTTGGCCTGCTGCTACAGACACGAGGAGGTGGTGGCCGCATTACTGACCGCGGGGGCCAACCCCAACCTGCTGGACAAACGCAGCTGGAGCCCCCTGCACCTGGCCAGCAGTGGGGGCAGCTTCCCCTGTGTGCTGCAGCTGCTCTCGCACAGTGCCCATGTCAACGCGCAGAACGGCAGCCAGGCCACTGCGCTGCACCTGGCCTCTGCCGCGGGCAACGTTCCCATAGTACAAGCTCTGCTGCTCAACGGGGCCAGGAGGGACATGAGGGATGCTAAAGGATACACCCCCAAAGAGCTGGCCCACAGGAACCAGAAAGAGGAGGTGATTCAGCTGTTGGAGGAATAGCGGCTAAGAGCTAGCAGGGGCTGCTCAAGTACTGTAACAGCGCTGGTGACCATAAGGTCACAGGGTGAAGGCTCCTCTCTCTTTCAGGAACTAAAAGAGCCCTAGAGGAGAACTACCAACACATACGATGGTAATACTAGATTACTAACTTGTAGTGTTTGATATTATTATGATATAGCTTCCACAGATAGTCTGTTTACATAGCATGTCTGAGCTTTGTAATGGTTTGTAGACCCATAAATATGACGCCTAAGAGGACCAGCTGGATATGAAAGAAATTTCTAGAATTGAGGGTAGGGGACTGACATGTGCACAAGTCTACATTCTGTTCTAGAAATGCCTCATTAAACCATGTCCTGACCCTTTCATCAGAAAGCAGTAGTCATGTCAGCATATGTCGAGTATATCGAGGTACTTAATTTCAGGGGCAATAAGCTGTGCCTGTACATAAGAATGAAATCCAGCCGTATTTATATACAAAAATTCCTTTTGTAACATTACAGCAAGGAATACATCTTCTGTATGTATTTCCATCACTTCTGTGTTCTTACACAGCTGTTTATCATACATACATTCAGCCCAAAACTGGATTCAAAGCCTAGCTTTCTATGGTGCCCTGGCTTCTGAGCCCCTGCTTGTGTTCTGGAATGTTCCCATAGCCAGCCTCAGACAGACAGGAGCACCGTCCTGCAGCAGACTTAGCAGTGCTTTTGTGCTCATGTTCAAAGCTGTTCAGCGGGAAGCAGCTAAGCTCAGTTAATTTTCTCGAACATTAAAATTTGTTCCAGAGAGAAACTGAGTCTAATCCCCCTTCAGGGGAAAACCGTCAGCGTGGTGCACAATGATGGACATTGAAAGATCCCGTGGTCTCTCTCACAAACACAGAGCTCACAAAAGAGGGTGGTCCCTGTGCTGGATGTGATGCACTTCTGTATCTTTTTTGTTATAAAAACGAATTGGGTCATTTTCATTAGCTGCTCTTCACATGCAGACCCAGCACTGTCACAGAACCATCAATCAATGACATCATCTTGACTGCTGTGGTCTGCTAATTTGAGTGGAGAGACAGGGGCTGTGATAAGAGCTGGAGGAAGCCTGGGACGAGGCCTAATGAGAAGAACGTTTTTGATGTGTCGGGTCTCCCTGATGGATCTACAGTCTGGGTCATCTTTTATAATACTTATAATGCTGGTGCTGAGATGTTGTGAAGACTGTTAGAGACCTTGTATGGAGATGCCATATTGCAGCCAAAAAAAAACTGGACAAAGTGGTTGTCTGAGCTTTACCAGCTGCCAGAACCTGGCTGAGATCAGGGACTGGAATGAGAAAATAGTTCAAAGAGTGATGTTATGGTAGACAGGCAACAGGCATCTGGGGCAGAGCAGATGGACAGAAGCATGGAGTATCTGTAATGTGAAGTTCCTAAGATGCCCCTGCCAGCCCCACATTCATCTCCTGGGCCTCCCTTAGGGTCGAAGCATGAATGTTACCCATCTCCTGTGTGACTCCCACCATCAGATCCGTAAATTTCCATTGCTTTGTTCAGTCTCTGGAATTTTTCATTAAAGGAATTATTGCATGCAGAACCTCTGACTTGCTTGTCCAACTTGTCTGTGCCCTTCCCACATATCTGGTGAACGTTTTGGGAATACCCCGGCAATCCCTGGAGTAATGGCCAAGCTCTGTGCTCTACTGCAGCAACGGTTCCAGTGCCGACATCAGTGGACGAACAACTGTATACTGGGCCCTGGGGCAAAAATGAACCATGCCCCCCCACCTTAACAAATTCACACCTAGAGTCTGCCTAGGTTGCAGTTGCAGCAGTTACAGATGATGACATTTAAATAGCCTCCAAATGTCACACCCATCATGCACTGCAGTAGTTAGCGAATTCCACAAATGTTTTTTTCGTTAAATTCACGCCTCGACAACAGAGTTTGACTACAAAACATTACAAACTATTACATTTCAAAATTGTTTTAAGTATTGTACCAAGTTTTTTTGTGTTATGACTCTCACCATAATGAGATTGTATACATATAAATGAGAGACATAAAGACTGCATGTCACAAGTTCAACTTATATGTATGACATCAGTGCCTTAATCCTCATGAATGTCTTGCATATGTGTGAGATTTGGATCTTGATGTTCATTAGGGGGCCCGATCGTGGGGCAGCTGCCTTGATTACCAATCTGCCCCTAACCGACCCATTTGACAGGCTTCAGATCTTGGAAAGCACACAGATTCCTCTTCTTTCTGCTGCAGTTCCCAGCCACCATAAGCACATTATTGTCTGTATTGTATGACAAAAAATGCTGAGATGCTTCTATCCACTGATCTTCTAACCACTGGCAGCATAGGGCACCAGCCTGATGTACACCATGGACAGGATGAGTATATATTAAATATTTCCTCTTATCTGTGTCTTGCTATTTGGTGGGCTGGGTGTTATCTATCGGCATGATTTAAAAGACACAATGACACTAGTAGGACTGGGAGAGTTCTTCAGTCCAGTTTTCTCAGAACCAGAGCAGAGGGCGGTAACTTGACTTTCAGCTGTTTATTTATATCTACTGGCAAAATCGATGGTGACAGCCGGGGCTTTTATGGCAAAGTGTAAAGGGAGGCAAACGGGACTTGAGGAATCGTTACAGGCGCAGTTAGCGGGGCGCTGTCAGCATGCACACTCACCGAGGGAGAGCAAGATTAGTGATTCAACGCAGGAGAGGACATCAGCGGGCTGGGAAAATATGATGCTGCTATGCGAAAAGGAAAGCATGGCAATAAAATCATAATATAGCGTCTTTGTGGGAATACATCTGTTACTCGTATTTTAATTACTTGATTTATAAAACAGAGTAATTTGAATTGGACTACAAAATGTTATCAGTAAGAACATTATCACCATTGAACCTATAATTTTTTACACCTGATATATAGCGTCAGTAATCTGGTTTTGAGGATTTCTGGATTTATTTCATGTAACAAAGGAAGAGGTTGCACTTTGAATAACTGCATTATTAATCAACGTCTCCGCACAGACACGTTTCAGCATAATGCCTCCTATGCTTTTTACCCAGAGTGTGACAATTACTGATATATAATAATGCTATTTCAACTTTTAAATTAACATTTTATAATGAACTGTGAAAGTGTGGAAATCTTTTACTCATGTAATAGGTGAATATCTTGCTGAATCTGACAATGGGTGTTTCTCAATACCAAGAACGCAAAGATCGTAGTTGTAGTCTTGGCAAGACCGGTCTAGCTAACTTGCCTCCCAAAAATGAACTTGGGGCGCACTGAATCATGGGATTGTTCGCATTAGCAAGGCCGCAACCGATGCATTCTTGATATTTGGAACGGGGCAAGAACGACATCTGGGAATTTTTCTTGTCCTCTGTACTTCTGTTCTTGAGTTCTGGAATTGTATTTTGGAAATGGAGGATGATGTAAGATGGGTACGTGAGAACACAAATACGATCAAGTATGCATATTGATGAACACCCAATGTGAACTGTAAGGAAGACCCAGTCTGTTGCTTTATATCTCTCAGCCTCGTGTGCTTTCCTGAGTAACCCTGAAATCACCCTCTATATCTCAGAACACAGTAGCAGGGTGTACTTCTATAGCAAGAACTGATCTCAGGAGTCATGCTGCTTCATGTGTTATTTTAAATATGTAAGGCATGCACATCATGTCCTTCATCAGCCAGCAGTGTGAATAAATCCCAGCTCTGCAGGCCTGACCGGAGGCTCAAGTTCACCACAGTGTGGATGTGAAAGAGCATCAGCTGAGCTTCTTCACCGCTGCTCATGGCTTTGTCTTGCTGAGTTACCCCCCTTCACCTTAAACGTGACATTTTTTTCAGAACCAAAGTTAAATCGGAGTCTTTAATCTCAATTATCTTAACTGATATCATAGGCAACCCAAGGCAGATTATGTTACATTTTTATTCTTTAAACCTATTTATACAGTTGCATACAGCTGTTTTCACAGCTAAGTTTGGTACCTACCTCAAGGGTATGTACAACAGTAGAGCTCTTCCTGGGACCTGCAGTTTTCCTGGGTTGATTTCTTACCTGCAATGTGAGTATCTGTCCTGTCTCACATGTCTAGAAGGCTGTTTATTAGAAGCCAGTGTGTGAGGATGTATGTACTGTACCATTTATGCTCTGCTTAAGAGAAAAAAATAACAGGATAAAGAATCAGTCACCCTCAGGAAGACCACAGAAGTGTAAAGCCCATTCGCTCTCAGAGGGATATTATTAGAATCACGTTGTTACATAGCATTCCCTTCCATGTCCATCATTCATTGTATTGTCATTTTTACAGCCTGTCTGATCCCAATCCCATTTGTCTTTCTTCTTATTTATGGTTGAAAACGCAATAAAAGATTGCCCCAAAAGAGAGAACATAATTTGTAATTTCATAGTGGATGGAATGGTTTGGAGATGGTTAGATCTGCAACAAATGGATTTTTCCTAATTCTTTAATTCTTAGATGTGCAATACTTTTGAAAAAAAAAAAGATATGCATAGTGATTTTGTTTACGTGTGTCATATATGTGACATAGTGAGGTACAGTAGATAAGCTGCCACATTCTGACATTTCAGGTGTCTCTATGTACCCGAAAAAACAGAAACCTTGTCACTGGATAGTTGGGCTGAACTTCTCAAGCTTAAATTTAAAGCTGCTGTAACTTCCCACCTCTGAATCTGCACGCCGAGACACCGTGTGAAGATCTCCCTGCCAGGTTTCACAGTAATCTAAGGTGACAAAAACGGGACGAGATGCAGGGACCAAATGGGGCGCTGTCACACGAGGCCTCAAGGAAACTCTGGGATGATCCAGGGATAACAGCCATGTGCATGTATTTACCCACCTGTACTCTAACTGCTTACCCAGTACTGGGTCGCGCAAAATGGAAAGCTCATTAACACTAGTTCAAATAACCTGAGGCAGATCAGGAGTGAGACAACAGTGTTACATGCTAAGCCACCATATTGCCAGAGAAAAAAATGATTTAAATGTTTTTTAAGTGGTTGAAACAATCTGGTCTGGACTCATAATCCGAAGGTCATCGGTTCAGATCCCAGAGCTGGCTGAGTGATTTCTCCCTTGGGCCCCTGAGCAAGGCCCTTAAGAAGACCCTTAACAAGACCCTTAACAAGACCCTTTCTCCAGGGACTGTCTGGATCTGCTTTCTTTCATAAAGTCTTTGTTGGATTGGATAAAAGCATTTGCTAAATAAATTAAATATAAATGTATCACCAGTGGTCTGTACTACGAAGCGGGGTTACTGGCTTATCGGGGTAACTTGTTAGATTTGTTCAATAAATGCTATAAATATATGAGCGGTAGCTATCTGTGTGCTACAACTAAAGCAGTCCTATTAGCTACGCATTTTTTTAGAGTCTTAAAGCACTTATGTAAGTCGCTCTGGCGAAGGGCGTCTGCCAGATGCTGTAAATGTAAATTTAAGGTAGTCTGGGCAAAATGTAAGTGAACGAATATGAATTCCATTTAAACTGTGGTACCTTTAATTCGGCAAGTTACCCTGATAAGCCAGTAACCCCGCTTCGTAGTACAGGCCACGGGACTGATTGCCTAGGCTGTGGGTTCGGCCTGGATTCTCCTCCTAGCAGTCTGGGGCCCTCCTTCCTTCACTTGGTGTGAGTCCTGTGTTGGCCTGATATCCTGCCTAAGGTGCCCTTGCCTTGTGTCCTGGGATAGGCTCAGCGGTTTGCTGCCACCGTTCATTGGAAAAGCGCTTTGGAAATGGATGCACTTTTTCACCTTTACAATAAATTACCAGCTTCATTTCGAAAACAAGTGAAAATAAGAATTTTATATAAGCCCTCTGTCAATGCCTGTAAATCCATACCTGGATTTACCAGACACTGTCATTATTAGTTAGAATAATGCATTTATTCAGATGATAGGAACAGCATCTGAAAGGTTGAAGTTCATTTGGAACGGCCCTCATTATTTATAGAGTAAAGCATTACGTGCTGTTCACTCCCCCGCTCTCTGCTCAATGCTCAATTAGTGACAAGTACGGCATAGAAAGGAGCCGTACTCTCACTGATAGAGGCGTGCCGGTGGGCAAGGATGAGCCAGCTGTCAAGAATGACCTCCAGAGAGGTGCTCTTGAAAGTTTCAAATAATAGTGTAACCTGCTACTGTAGGTACTTTATTCTAAATCCAAGGAGAGAATGAATGGAAAATGGAAGAAAATCATGTAAGTCAATACAAGCCTATGTATATAGTGCCTTTCATACACTACAGCAGCGGGGAGTGTAAGAAAAATTAATAACAGACAATCGTGGCCATAAGTGGAAATTAGTGGGAGAACATTTTAAAACAAATTTGAGGAAGCACTTCTTTACACAGCGTGTAGTTAGAGTATGGAAAAGTCTTCCTGCTAGTGTAGCGGAAGCTAAAACCCTGGGTTCCTTTAAATCAGCTAGATAAGATTTTAACAAATCTGAGCTATTAGTTAAGTTCTCCCCAAACGAGCTTGATGGGCCGAATGGGCCTCTCTCGTTTGTAAATTTCTTTTGTTCTTATTTTCTTAACATCCTGGAAAGACTATGGAAGCCGAGAATGGTTGTGCTTACAATTAATTTCTTTAAATGCCATCATCTCGAGATGACAAGATCATTTGTCTTGTTAACTTGAGATAACAAAGCTGAGATGTGATGCGATACTTTTTGTCATTGTGGCAGCGTAAGCTACATGTTCTAAAAGGACTGCAGCTTACATGCAGTTTAGGTTGGGGTTGCTCTGCATGCCGTCCATTGTGTAGACAGCACATTGCGCTTAGAGGAATGCTATACGACAAGGGTACAACACTTAATTTTAACCATAAATACGTAGATGCACACCTTAAGTGACAATACCACAGTGACAATACATACACGAGCAGCGCTGTGTATGGCAGGACTGCCCTGGGCTGTCACAATATGTTTATCCTTGTAATTATTCTGAGAAAAATATCTTGTTATCTCAATAAAACAAGATTTGTTTTATTGAGATAACGAATTATCTTGTTATCTCTAAATAACAGCATTTAAAAAATAAATGCAAATATGGCCGTTCTTGGCTTCTGTAGAAAACAATACTGAAAATTATGAATAATTGTGTAAGTGCCTAATAAGTATATCCGTTTCACATACATATATTTCATAAAAATGACAAAGAAATATTATTAATAGACCACAATGCTAATAAAATGATAATAAAATACATCACAGTGATGAAACCAGCCTTCCCGTGTAAGCACACCCCTATTTAATCATGTCAGGGTTGCTCAGACAGCACTATATGGACATAAATATTGGGGCATCTGACCATTTCACTTACAGGAACTTTAATGACACTCCATTCTAATCCATAGGCATTGATATGGAGAT